TGGGTCAGTTTCTCAGCACCACATAAAAATAAACAAATAAAGGTATTGTGCCCATCTACAACTAAAAAAATAATACCCCCTCAACTTGTTCCTTATTATTTAAAAAAAGGGGGGGGCTCTGAACCACCTCGTTATTGTATGTAGGCTAGTAATTACCATTATTTAAGCAAATTTGAGGTTAATATCTTCTACTTTTGGCCAAATTATATATATTGCAGACATATTATTACATTAATAGAAGGAATCAAAGAAATTCTTCAATCTATGTTCAAAGCTATTTTAGTTAAAAAAAAACTTATAAAATGAAATCTTGGTTACTTTTCGCCCCTCCACATCATTTTATATCCCAAACCAGTTTAAACACATATTGGGCAGTTACTAATGGACAAAATATTACTTCAATACAGTCTTTTCCTCTTTTCTTTCTACAGTCAATGCCTTAGTTTATAGAAATGTACTTGATCTTTAATGTTTTTACCTTCTTTACCTATAAAACAGGGCCAAATGTGCCTTCCCCAGAAAATTAAATGAAACTTTAGAAAACAGCATAGTGCCTGGCAGATAGTGTACAATGTTAGGTATTTTTCGAGTAACTAAATACTTCTCACTGGGAGAAATGCCATGTATTCATTTTCATTATTTTTGCTTTTATGACCCCCCCCCCAAAAAAAAAGCTCTAATGGGAAAGTCTCCAAATTAATATTTCATATTTTGTACTCCTGGTGGCTAATGACTGTCTGCATAAATCTGTTTTCAACCTAATATTATTTTTGAAACACACACATGTGCACAATACGAAACATTCAGAAATTCAACAACTCACACTATCCCCTTCCATTATTATTCCACTAGTAGTTATATTAGTGACTGTCACATACCTGAGAAGTAGAGGATAGGTCAAACAACAAAGTATCAAGATTAGTACCTACAACTTCCTTTATTGTARCAAATTGACTACTGGAGCTTTTGTTAAAATTGCTTCTGTTATTCACTTAATATAAAAGTACAAGTTCACTTATTCAACAAAGGACAAAGGAGTTTATACATTATAAGGTTACACATAAATAATATACTATTTATATTCTACTTCATATTGGATTATATTTTGGTTGATATCCAACTTTCCTGTTGATATAATAAAAATGCCTACTATAAGAATTACATAACATGTAGGACAGCCTTTCAGTTTTATCTATTAAGACACAGAAATTTAAAAATAAAACTAAACATTTGTCTTCATTAGCTTGTGGGAGCACATAGCCATGTGTGAGGACAGCTGGAAGCCTTGAGAGTATTGTGGTTAAGGTGAATTAAACCTGGATGTTCTTTGTGACAGATAGAAGACCTAATAACGATCAGGTTCAAATTCATGATTTCCTCACATTTTCCTTTACCAACATGTATCTGCCTTAGTTAATATTCAAGRCATACTTTCACCAGCTGTATTGATGTCCTTCCTGAGAATCAATAATAACAGCAAGAATCTCTCATATCCAATATAATCTCAGACCCCTGACTATAAATACAAGTCAATGAAGAGAAGAAAATTTAAAGTATTTGTATAACTCATCTTTAGGATGGGACAGATATTTTGTTTGGGCATCCCATGCCCTATTTTGTATTTTATTTAGAGACAGGGTCTTACTGAGTTTCTTGGCCTTGCTTTTGCTGAGGCTGGCTTTGAAAACTCTTCTCCTGCCTCAGCCTCCTGATCTCCTGGGATTATAGTCATTTTCAAACAAGAAATCCAGAAGACAGAACAATTACCCATAAGTGATATTAAAACACAAAACTAGGAGAAAATATTTGCAACACAAGACGTCATTAAAAAACTCATATGGGGCTGGGGCTATAGCTCAGTGGTAGAGCACTTGCCTAGCATGTGTGAGGCACTGGGTTCCATCCTCAGAACCACATAAAAATAAATAAGATAAAGGTATTGTGTCCATCTACAACTAAAAGACAAACAAAACCCCMAAAACAGAAATTTAAGTAAATGAATAACAAACATATCAGACGTGCAAATTAAAACAAGATGCTATCAGATTGGCTAAAAATTAGTAAGATGTTAAATATTTGCAATACCAGTGAGAATATGGAATGGTAGCTATTGGTAGACAAGTAAATCAGTGCCTTAACTTCATTAATGACTTGTGGATCCATCTATATCTATTTGTTACTATACTGAAGAATGTTCACATTCATCTTTTTTTTTTTTTTTTAAGAGAGTGTGAGAGAGGAGAGAGAATTTTTAATATTTATTTTTTAGTTCTTGGCGGACACAACATCTTTGCTGTATGTGGTGCTGAGGATCGAACCCGGGCCGCACGCATGCCAGACGAGCACGCTACCGCCTGAGCCACATCCCCAGCCCCTTCACATTCATCTTAACAGCAAAAAACTACAAACTAAGTACCTAACAACTGGTTAAGTTGGGGAATCAAGTTAGAGAATCTTCATATAAAGCCTACTTCTATACTTTTAGGAAAAAAAAACAGGTAAAATATATCTTGATTACTAAGTACAAAGCACTGTTCTAAATGTCTCACATACATATATTCATCCTTATACCAGGTCAAGAATGTTTCATACAAGAGAAACCTAAAGTGTGGAGTGGTGAAATAAAAGATGGAAGACAGCAGATTCCAATCTAAACTCTTGACTGTAGTAGCCAGCAGCTATGATAGAATAGCGTAGAGAGGCTTGAATGTAAGCTGCTTAAAAAAAAAATTTAGATGCATAAATGCATAAAATAGTACAAACAGCAAATAAATGTACAACTGAGCTATTTGGGGGTTGGGGAGATCAATGAAGCAGCTTTATTTCTGTAACATTTGACTTGTTACAATAAAGTGCTAAAGATTTTTTCCCCTTGCTTTCAGCTAAAAATCTTAGGACTCAGGAAAAGAACTTGAATGGTTTGGCTCAATCTTTTCACAAAACAGCTAGCTACAGTAAACCAGATGAAGAGAGGGAGACAATTGGAAGGTGCTATATTGCTTGCTGATACTGAAGATCCAAAGGACCCACTGATAACTTATTTACTGAAGCAAATTCCTCTTAGGGATCACTCGAAACTAATTTTTATCTCCCTACTAGAAACATTTTTGTAGAAAGCTTACAAATTATAAACTCAAAAGGATCTAAAATATATACTCTAGGGCTGGGGATGTGGCTCAAGCGGTAGCGGCCCGGGTTCGATCCTCAGCACCACATACAAAGATGTTGTGCCTGCCGAAAACTAAAAAATAAATAATAAAAAATTCTCTTACAAAAAAAAAAAAAAAAAATATATATATATATACACACTCTAAAGCCTCAGAGGTATCACTCAATTTATAAAGGTAAGTTAGTAACTGCATGGGAGTTTCTACCCCTATTATAAAGGAAATCAGGTAAAGAAAGTCTCATCACATAAAGGAATATAAAACTATTTATTGACCATTGTTCACCAGTATTTACAATAAAGTAAACAATATACAGTTGGGTAACATTCTGATTACTACAAAGTTATTTTCCTGGCTTGTGTTGAACCAGTAATCCAAATACTGAAAAGACTGAGCCTACATGTTAAGGGGTGAAGAAAACACATGCAGGTCAATAGTTTAGACTGTAAAAATTCCCTCACCAATTTATGTGAGCAGGCTATAAATTGCCAACATCTTTAGCCATCTGATCAGGTTTCCATGAGCCAAATCTTAAAGACATTCCATGAATTATGACCTTTTAGTATGCAGATTTCAACATTTAAAAAAGGAATGGCTAACTAGAACTCTTAACATGCCCACTTCTTTCTTCAATAATTTTAAGACAAACTAGGATTTGTCTAGTTTATTTGCCTGGGTGCAGAAGTGGCACGGTGATAGTATTTTTCCTTTCAGGAATTTTGCAAATAAAACTGTTGCATTTATGTGACGACAGATGTAAATTTAATGTGCTTTTAATCATCTAATTTAAAGTGTCCAATTAACTACAGAATCACTTATTTAATCTGAAAGGTTAAGTTTAGGGAAAATTTCAATTTAACTTGAAGTGACATTTCTTAGGTTGCAGAGGATGATGGCATCTCAGGAACTTGGGTTTACTACCCATTGTTTTTGTGTTGGTGAATGTTTAAAAAACCAAAACCATTATGTAAGTATTTTATG